TTAAATGAATACATTTCCAACCATGGACATATTTACCTTTTACAGGTACAGATTATAATATTAGCAGATGTTTAGCTGCACCTACAATAAAACTTTATCTTGAGTATATAGTCCACACATTCACTATTCAACATATTTGAATTTACCAAATGGATCTTAAATTCCAGGAATTAGTATGTGCATCATACTTCAAGAGAGATTCAAGATTCTTTATTTGTCACATGCATAGTTATACAAGTACAATACGCAGTGAAATGTATCCTGAAACCCTCCTCGACTGTGCAAAAGGGGAGAGAAGTACATTATATACATTATGTGAATATATACATGGGGGACTTTATGTGCAGTAAGTGGCATTGTGTGGAGCAAGTGGGTGAATTCTGTACATTAAATGAATTAAATAAAACAGACAATCTCAAATTTTTTAAATTAAAAAATCTGAAATGTACATTGTGCCGGTGGTTGTTAGAGTGTCTGGAAGAGAGTCCTGGCTCAGTCACTTATGGATGCTTATGGATACTTAAAGATTTAAATATATTTATGACCGGCTATCCAAAAAAAATGTTGGGACCACATATAAAATTGAAATAATACTGAAATCACTGATAACCCTATACTTGAAAATGTAACAACATTTAAAGTAAACATGCTTAACATGTTTACTTTAAATGTGATACCCAGAACCTGCTAGAAAACACAGTAACAAAAAATGTTAATGAAGCCATTGAGATTTTTGTCATTTCTTTATTAATGTGATAATATGACCATCAACATCATCAGTTTTCCTAAACGTCCTCAAAGTAGAAAGATGCCCAAGGAAACAACTGAGATGAACATACACTGCCTTCACACACATATGAACTTGAGTGACATCTCATTCGTAATCCACAGAGTTTAATATGATAGCCAACCCTTTGTAGCTATAAAAGGTTGGATACTTCTGGGATGGCTTTCCATAAGGTTTACGGGTGTGTTTGTGGGAATCTTTGACCATTCTTCCAGAACCACTTTTGTGAGGTCTGTAAACCATAAAGTTTTATTTTGCTATACTCTTGACAAAACATTTGTTTTGCTGTCTAAGTTTAGCCAACTACAAAATGGCACCTATGTTTATTGTGTGAAGCTAGTTTTCTCCTTTGGTATATACACATTTACGTTATTCATATATATTTGTCATTTTTATTTTTTATTACTTTTTTTTTTAACAGTGAATTTCCAGAACTTTGGCCTAATTTTCTGATTAAGTGCTTCTGTCTGCCATTGGAAGAAAAAGCAGACTAAAGTACACATTCAGAGGCAGGTGAGGTGGTGGGTGCTAAAGTTACATCCATAAATTTTTGGATCAAGACAGTTTTTGTACTTTTGCCTCGCTACATCACCACAGCAGATTTTAAATCAAACAATCCAAACGTAATTGGAATGCAGACTTTCAGCTTAAATCAAGTTCTGACAAATATGCAAAACACTAAAGGCACTAGGATACATTCCACATTAGTTACTTTGCATGCTACTGCAACATTATCTGACTGTCATTTCTTTTTGACATCTGACTGGTCACTTGGTGTTCGCTCTCTCTGCGGTAGAGTATCACTTCCTGTTCCTGCTCAACACACAGTGGTGTTTTTGAGTAGCTTATCTGCTTAGCAATTTAATTAAAAACTTTTAGATACCTCCTTTTTTATAGTATAATCTACACGTGCTTCATCCGAACCACACTCTGTGTACTCACTTCTAAATTATAGCCAAAGTATTCACTCACTGTGTCTTTACTGTATCGCTAGCTTTGCTTATCTCGTAGCCGACTTGCTAGCAGCATGGCCTCTTCACCTGTCCCTCCTGCACTTTCCTGCTCATTGCGTCAGATGTTTAGTTACTCCTCGGCCTCCTTTAGCAGTAGTGATACTTGTAACAAATGTAGCACATTTGCAGCTCTGGAGGCCAGGATTACTGAATTGGAGACTCGGCTTCGCACCCTTCATTCACTCATAGCTAGCGTAGGCCCCGATAGCTTTTACCCGGCATGTTTGTTCCTTACATTGGAATTTGGAGGTGTGTGTGTGTGTGTGTGTGTGTGTGTGTGCGTGTGTATGTCAGAGTGTGACCCCATAAACGACTTCCCTAAACCTGCTGGTCTGGAAAGTCCAAACAACAGAAGAATTTACTGAATATAGTAAAACAAAACAAAACAAAACCAAAACAATTATGCTGCATCGTTTCTTCTGTTTCTATTTGGCCACAACACCTCATCCACATCACAAGCAATATTTTCACTGGCCGATCAGCAGGGCAAATATCGCCTAGCATGGCGAATCGAGAAAAAACTAAAAAGCGTGGGTGGACAGTGAACCAGTCTTCATCGTCCTCCTCCTCCTCCTCCTCCCCCTCCTCCTCTTACTCTCACTCCTCTGGCTCTGCCTCTGTTTCCAATGTTGGCATCCATTGCACCAAAACAGAAGAACTCACCTGTTGCCCTTTTATAAAGCTCTGATTTTTTCATTGCAATTATGTGTGAAAGGTGTTTACCTATGTGATGAGTTAGTATGCAAAGTAGGGCAACTGAGTTTACAATTTTGAATGACAGTGTGTTTCTCTTGTGAAAACAAGAGATTTTCTTCATGAAAAGAGTTCCAAATGCAGAGAATTATGTGTAGTGTTTTGAAAAAAGTGTGTTTTAAAACTGCAATTTGAGTGTAAAGCAGGAATTATGCTTGTAGTTTAGCAGAATTGGTTTAGGGGGGTGGTGCATCAGTTACATGTGGTAGTCACTGTGTCTGAAGTACATGTAATTGTGTGTAAACAACTGGAAATAACTGTAATATTACTGTTAATATTACTCTGAAAATAAAGGATCACTAAGAGTTTTCACTTTCCTGAATCGCCTGAAACTTTCCTTAGGTGTCTTCTCTGTGTTGACTAATGTCCAGATCGGATGACAACATATTCTCAGGGCTATCTTTATATGATCTTCTTCTGCAAGTACTTTAGGGGGAAAAATCAGAAATTCATTTCCTTATGAAATAGGAAGAAAGCCACATCAGAAATGCTCTCAGTGGCTGTCAAGAATCCATTTTGTAGAAAAGCAGAATGTGAAAAGAAAGACTGAGATATGCCAATTACACAAGAACTGGACTGAAAATCAGCAATCAATTCAAAATTTGAAATTTATGGTTCAAATTGTGCCCAGTATATATGAAAATCTGGAGAGTAATGTGTGGTTTACAAAACGTAATATTTTGTATTAGTGTAAGTGGTCAGTCTTTGCTCAGATATAGTAACCTTATCCCTGTTTCCATAGTAATATCTACAAGCACTGACAATAATGTAATTGCTGTGCTCTATAAATTGCAGCTTCCTATTCCTCTCAGTACAGTGTTTATCACCCTGTTTAAATTACAGAGCTTTATTTACTAAACATTTTATTGTTGATGATTTTGTTACCTCTCATAAATTAGACTCATTTGGACTTTGTTCAACTAGGCAACTGCTTCCCACTTGTGAAAAATTCTCCACTAAAATACAAATTTTCACAAGCCTAAAAATACTCTACAAACCAAGTACACATCGTAAGATATCTTGGGTGTTTTGCACACCCACTTATAGATACACAAGGATACTTAATATATTTTTTTTTAATTTACTTAATTGAATTAATGAATTTATCAGCCACAGGCAAGGCCAGAGCTGGGAATTGTTTGTGGAGGAGGAAGGAAGGTTATATGTTGTCAGTACGGACAAACACATTTTTAAGTTTGTGTGGATGAAGAAGAGTGATCTTTAGCTTTACTGAGTATTTTTTAATCATTTCATCACAACACACAATTTAACATCTCATCCTAAATTAAAGATTAAAGATACTGCAATAGACAATAAACTCCAGAAAACCAGGAATCAACATATGAACATTATCTGTGCAAAGACTGATACTGCTGAAGTAAAAGAGCAAAGTCACAGAGGTGTTTATGAATACACAGCCAGGCGTTTTGCAATCTGGTCCATTTTGGCACAATCTGTGAGTTGAAATTTCTTAGGTATTGATATTGAACAGAAGAAATGATTTAACTTCATCTAAATACCTTAAAAATGCTTGTTTTTCAATAATTTTTGAAGAATTACCCATACACACATGCATAATGGCCCTTGTGTGAATGTGGAAAAATAGTCTTTGGGGCTTTAAATTCTGAGTTGCCGTAACTTTGGCTTCATATATTACATATTATACTTCATATACTACATATTGCTGTAAGGTGACCAACCATATGGCTACCAGTTTTGATATTTTTTTGACTATTTAGTTTTGCAAGAAAAATATTTTAAGTAAAAATAATAATAAAAATAATTGGTGTGTAAGTATGGACTTATTTTGCAAGAGAAAATTCTGAACGTGTGATTAAAGAATAAGTGGCAAAGGTACCAGTATCTATTAAAATATGACAGGAACCCAACCCAACAACAGAAACAAGAAAGATACATTAAACATAAAATAACTAAATATGAGAGTAGTTATGTGACAGTAATGTCTCTGTTTTCCTTTCCAATCCCATACCAAGTAAAGTTCAGGCTGGTATCAACAATACTGATTCGATATCAGTACTTTGTACAAGAATTTAATGTGCTTGGAAAATCAAAATCAGCATTATTGTATTTTAAATTATACCTTAACAATAAATACAAGACATAGCACTACTTGTTCTTATTGTTTAATTATGAAGAATTATCATACAAGAGGGAAAAAACCCAGTCAATGTCAAAACCTTTAAAATATTCAATTAACAATGACTCAAAACAAATATGACTGATTGAAAACAACAATAAAGCTAAGAACCATTTTCCTAGACTATCTATCTATCTATATCTATTTCATTTCAATGATCACAATAATATAGTTACTTTCTACTGCTTTTCTGTGACAAATTATTTGGTATCGGAGGAATCAGTATTTCAGTATCAATCCTCGCACCACTAGACAAGAGAGGGAGAAGAACAGTTAAGGAAACAACAAAGAAACTAAACATAAACATATTCAAAGTAGGACCTGAAACTGAATGAAAAATCAAGTATTCTAAACTAGAACAGCATCCAGCACTCCATAAAAACAAGGCAATAAGAGGAACTCAAACTATTGTGTTATTACTAGATATATTAGATTAACAATAAAAACATGACCTTATGACACTAACCCTATCAACAATAGCATAAGAAATCAAACTGCCTATAGAATCATAAAGAAATAAAATCAGGAACAATAAAACCCAACAGAAAGAAAAAATAGCTTTATTCACATGAATCCCAAGCTCTGCCATTCCTGGAGTAATGGCTAAACAAGTAAAATGAAAGAGACGAAAATGTTCAGATTAAGTGCAATATGTAATGACAATAAGTGACCCTTATGTGCGTTTATGGTCTTCTATCCATATCTAATGCACTTAAGGTGGTTTTTGAAAAAGTGAAGCTGCAGTTTGAATTTGCCTTCACTTCTTTCAGGGTGTCTGAATTTGTTGTAGGTAGGATTACGGTTTTCCTGTGTTTTGGGTTGATGGTCAATTATCACATCACCACATGAGGCAACCATCAAAGAGCCCAGGCCATCCATGAAGAACTCTAGAGTCAGAAACAGACATTTCCCATTTAAGAAAATATCATCTTAGTGCCATTTTCAATCTAAACCCCTTTTGAGGTCTGGACTTACCTGAATGCGCTACTCGCTGGAGCTTGGGGTCAAATCTCACCCTCTGCATGGCATCTGTACGAGCCAGGAAGAAGTTGACCACTCCACTGGCCAAATGGCATTGTGGGTAACCAGGAAGACGGTGGAATTTTCCACCAGACTTCCTGTATAGGCAGCCACCTTCATTTTCATCTCCTTCCTCATATAGAATAGAAAAGTAAAAGCGGTTCCCTTGTACTGACCCACCAACCTAATTAGAGAAAAACAAAAAACCCATTATAAAATCAACACAATACAGTACAACAGAATCCATGTAAGCAAGGTTCAAAACTGGTGATTGAGAAAAAATAATCTTGAATTATTATTCAAGATTAGATTAGGCCACGTTAGAAGTCTAGTTTTTTTTCAGATGCTTTCAATCATGTTTTTCTTGAAGGATGCAGACTTCTTCCTGTACCACTGCTTGAAGAAGGTGTCTTCCAGAAACTGGCAGTAGGACTGGGAGTTGAGCTTGACTCCATCCTCAACCCGAAAAGGCCCCACAAGCTCATCTTTGATGATACCAGCCCAAACCAGTACTCCACCTCCACCTTGCTGGCGTCTGAGTGGGACTGGAGCTCTCTGCCCTTTACCAATCCAGCCACGGGCCCATCCATCTGGCCCATCAAGACTCCCTCTCATTTCATCAGTCCATAAAACCTTAGAAAAACCAGTCTTGAGATATTTCTTGGCCCAGTCTTGACGTTTCAGCTTGTGTGTCTTGTTCAGTGGTGGTCGTCTTTCAGCCTTTCTTACCTTGGCCATGTCTCTGAGTATTGCACACCTTGTGCTTTTGGGCACTCCAGTGATGTTGCAGCTCTGAAATATGGCCAAACTGGTGGCAAGTGGCATCTTGGCAGCTGCACGCTTGACTTTTCGCAGTTCATGGGCAGTTATTTTGCACCTTGGTTTTTCCACACGCTTCTTGCGACCCTGTTGACTATTTTGAATGAAACGCTTGATTGTTTGATGATCACGCTTCAGAAGCTTTGCAATTTTGAGACTGCTGCATCCCTCTGCAAGATATCTCACTATTTTTGACTTTTCTGAGCCTGTCAAGTCCTTCTTTTGACCCATTTTGCCAAAGGAAAGGACGTTGGCTAATAATTATGCACACCTGATATAGGGTGTTGATGTCATTAGACCACACCCCTTCTCATTACAGCGATGCACATCACCTAATATGCTTAATTGGTAGTAGGCTTTCGAGCCTATACAGCTTGGAGTAAGACAACATGCATGAAGAGGATGATGTGGACAAAATACTCATTTGCCTAATAATTCTGCACTCCCTGTCTTGTGTGAACTCTTTTCCCAATAAAAGGCAGCGAGAGGAGGCCGTCGTCGGGGTCATTCGTAATGAGATTTGAAGTGCGTTTCTGAGATACTGATGAGGCCTCCCTTGCAAATAAACCGATCGATCGCTGACTGTCTTGTTTTCTTCATGATGAATAAGTCTCTAAACCAGCGGGGCTTGTGGAAACACAGACCCAACATTTATTTGGTCCTTCGGAACCGGAGCCCAACGCATCGCATCCACCGAGGAGAGGGAGATGACGCCGCCGCAGTCTGCTAGCAGCCAGCGTCTGGGACGTCTGACGAAAGCCCTGGTGCTTAACTTTGTCACCAGGCCGGTCGGGATGGATGGCAATTGACGGGATCCAGAGATTCTTCCCATGAACGGAAACAACACGAACAGTGAGTACAGAAGGCCTTAGAGAGCGGCTACGTGACCGTGCGGTTAAACGCAGTTACGTGAGTGTGCAAGCTGTGCGTGTAGACGCAAGCTGCCTGGCTTCTCCGCCAGTGTTTTTGTTTTTAAATCTTTTTGATTTATTTAAGGAGGTAGGTTTTGGTTTCTCCGCCAGTGTTTTAAGGAGGGTTAAGACGGTTTCTCCACCGAAAGGAGGATAGAGCTCTAAAAAATAAAAAAAAAGGTTTTTCTCCGCAATTAAGGGCGTTGAGTGTTTGGTTTCTCCTCCAATAGTAAGAAGGATAGAGCTCGCCACGGTAAGGGAGGTTATAGGCCTAAAGAGAGTGTGACTGAGCGTATGTGTGTGTGAGTGCCAGTAAGTGAACGCAGCAGCACAGAAGGAAACCTAAGTCGTGTTAACAGAATTACACGTAGCCTGGGTTTTGGGGTAAGGCGCGTTGCATACCGCAAAATTAAAAGAAGTCTACCTTGAAAGAGGATGAAATACACTGCAAAGTATTTATTGGGCAGCACGTGGTGTGTGGATCGTTGACGAATGAAGTGAAATTGTGCTCTAAGCAGAAGTGAGTGTGAGTGTGTCTGACATCACGGTGTGTGTGAAAAGGTATCGAACTGGGGCAGACATGATTCTGCAGGTCACCTGCCCAGTGGACAAAAGAAATAAAATAGTTGTGTGGATGAATGATAGCATGAAGAGTGTTTGGTGTTTCTCAGCCTGAAACAACTGCAATGCTATTTTCTGTTTTGGAGAAAAGGACAGTTTAAAAAAAATCAGAGAGAGAGATGTGTGTTGTTTAAAGCAGTGATGAGAATAATGGAAATGTGATGAGAGAGGAACACAAAAACATACAGAAAATGCATTAACTATACTAACCCTACATGCATATACACAATAAATGATACTCATGAAGACCAGACAGCATCTTAAGCACGAGATTCTGTTAGTCATCTTGTCCAAGTCACTAGTAAGATGAAAGTGATATATAGACTAGTGGACTGAATATTATAGGAGGACAGATGGTTGCATCATAGAGGAGGAAACAGAATGCTGATGAGGGGTCTTAAATGAGTGAGCTGATTGTGAGTTTCTGGTGTGTGAAGAAGTTGTAACATGGCACACATTTAGTTACATGAGAAGAAACTTATTATGTGATGAGACAGCAGGGTTATGCTGTATGTTGTGTGTGATTGGATGAATGTTTGAGATTAAACTGGCTGTTGATTTGTCTTTTGTTACTAAGTTGAGCCTGCCAATTGGGTTGTTACGATTTATTCCCCTGAATTGAAGAACACGTGTCATGACTTAAACAAGGCCTTTCTTTCCTTTGCTTTCCTTTATGTTCTTTTTATTTTTTTACTCTCATGGTGCACTAAAGTTTTGTTTGATAATTTTTCTGTCATCTAAGCAGATCTGAACGTTTGAATAGGAAGAACTATACAACATGTTGTTGTGAACGGTTGCAAAGTGAGTTTCTCCAAAATTAAAATGAGCTGGGGAGAAAGCCACTTATTTGGGACAATTAGAAAGTAAGTTCCTGTCCAAAAGGATTCAACGAGGAAATCCAGTCTAAATTCTTTTTCTTTTTGAAATGTCGTCGTTTTTCTGAGGGTGGAAACAAAATGCGACAATAATTTCCACTATCAGCAAAAGAAAGAATCACTGAGTGAATGAGTGAGAATTTAAAAAAATGGGGAACTGACTGACTGGTTAAAGCTGACAAGACTGACTGACTTAACACCATTGTGTGAAGCTAACCCCCACCTGACAAAGGTGTGGCTGTATCACTGTGTGTGTCTCTGTTGCAGGAGCAGAAGGAGACCACAGGAGGAAACTTGGGTCACATGACTATGTGAACTCTGCAAATTTAACCTTTTTAGTTTTAATTTTTCTGTGTCTGTGAATTTACCATGGGTGTGTTATTCACTACCGTGTGTTGCTCACAGAGATTACTGTGAGAAAGAGTGTATACACCTGTGCAGCGCTAACATTTACATTTCTTTATTACAGCAGATGGTTAATCATGTGATTTGATCATGTGATTTACAGCAGGACACAACTTAATGATGTTTTTCTACCACAGGATTACTGAGATTTTGTGTGAAGAAAACTGTGGTTACAGGCTATTTGTTGATGATGAAATTACACTGTGTTGTTGAGAAAATGTTGGAGAAAATGTGAAAATGTGCACAATTCTGACTCCATCAACCCTTTTGCCAACGAAAGAAGAGGGCACTTCTCATGAGTGTAGAGAGCACTTGGAGAAGGAGTGTAAGCCAAGGGATGACTCAATAGCTGTGGCACTCGTTGAGGGAAAGGTTTGGTTTGTTGATGATTTGAGTCTTACGACAGTAGAGGGACAGGCTAAGACAGGTTTTACTGTAGCAGACAGTGAGAAAGTTATCTATGCATGACAACTAACATGTTTCATATTTGCTTGAGCAGCAGAGATGCTAGCTTTAACGGAAGCGTGTAAAGCTGCAGAGAGACAATATACACTGATAGGCAGTATGCATTTGCTACATTACATTTCTTTTTAGCGCAGTGAGTGAGACGAGGTGTGGCAACGTCTACAGGGAAACCTGTAGAACACGCCAAACTCTTGCAAAATCTGCTGGAGGCAGTGTTATTAACCAGTGGAATTGCCGCTTGTAAATGTGCAGCACACATGTGAGGGAAAGATCCAGTTGCATTAGGGAAGGTTTTTGCAGATAAGATCGCAAAAGAGGCAGCTTTAGTTGAACATGGTGTTAACATTTTAGCAGTACAACATCAGCAGACACGCAGGCCCACTCACCTACAGCAGGAAAACGGTTGTGACTTACAGAAGGAGCGAGCTTGCAGGATGGTGTTTATTATCTGTGCGATAAACCAATACTGCCTAAGAATTTGTATAAGACTGCTGCTATTTTGAGCCATGGGCTGTGCCATTTCACAACAGCAGGGAGATGATGGGAGCAGTAGAGCAACATTTTTATACTCTAGGATTTAATACTTTAAAAAAAAATAATTTGCAGGTCATGTATGATATGTTGCAAGCACAATTCTCGGGGTAATTTGAGACTGAAGAGAGGGAAATTCCCCAGACCCAGTCACCCATTTCAAGTTATTCACATGGACTGTATAGAGCTGTCCAACTGTAATAACTATAAGTATTGTGTAGTGATAGCGTGCCCTTTTTCAAAGTGGGTAGAAATCGTCCCAACTAGGAAAGCAGTTGCCATTTTGGTGGCCAAAGCAATATATAAGCATATCATCCCGGAACATGGGATTCCAGAGACCATCGCTGACTGTCTTGTTTTCTTCATGATGAATAAGTCTCTAAACCAGCGGGGCTTGTGGAAACACAGACCCAACAATTGATGTCTTCTCTTATCAAGAAAACTTAAAACTTGTAGGTCCAAGTTACACATGATTGAGCTAAAGAAAAAAAACTGTTACAAACTGAACCAACACAAGCTATTTCATTCTTACCACATCTAGTTCAGGGACCGCCTCCATCACCTCCACAAGCTTCTCTATCTTTGTCTTCTCTGAAAACAAAAAGTCATCATCCACCCACAGAAAGTACTTGGTTGTTACCTGGGAAACAGCTAGATTTCTGCCTGCAAACCAGCCCTAAGAAGAAGAAAGAAACATCCTCTGTTCAAATTTATAAATTGGAATGGGACCCCGAGATTTACCTGGTTTGACTGGAATTGTACTTGATAAGTCTTCCAAGAACTGAATTGACATTTGCATGTCTTATATTCTATAAATATAATTTGAGTCCAAAATATTGCTAAAAACTCATAATTCTGAAATGAATGTGTGTGCATACCTGTGCTGGAGGCATGATGTAATGCTGGATGTTTTCTCCAGTAACGCTTTCTGGTTGTAAACTGTCATCTGCAATAATCACTTTAATGTCACTATAGAATTTCCGGATGCTGTCCAACAACACCCTCAGTTGTTTGTAACGCAGAAAGGTCTTTGTGATGATGGTGACTTGAGAGCTGATATCTAACAGACAGAAGTATACAGAGAATAATTTTAAGAAAAGATGAACTGTTAATATGGCAGAGTAGCATTAAATTTCTGAGTCATTCAACCAAAGGAAATACTAATAAATGTATTTTTTTTATAATTCTGGAAAAGCATGTGTGAGGATGAAAAATAAGTTAGATATAAAGATATAAAATCTGCCTGTTATTATGAAATAAATGAATTATTTCACATATGTTTTAGAGTCTTTCTGGAGCCTGCTAGGCATGGGGTCACAATACAGATATCAGATTAGAAAGATTCTCAGCATACTCTGAGTGAGCTTCGAGAAATTTCTAGCAAGAAAGTCACAGTTCCCAGTTTGGAAGTGATTTCAGAAAATTCTCAGAGCAATTTGAGAAAAGACACAGCAAAAACTTTAAATGAAAGAAAGACAGTGGGTTGGAAGAGTAAATGCAGTATTAAATGCAGCATATTGCATTCTCTGGTTAGTCATTAAATAAATAAATAAATAAAAATCCTATGATGTTTTGAAGTCTCGAAACATTACCCTTATGCTCACTTGATTTATAACCTCAGTAAACTTGTCCCTTAAAGATTATGATTTTTTGTCTTATACAACAAATGTAAGGTTATTTTTGTAAATGTTGTTACTATTGTAGCAGATTTCGATTTTTACATGTCAATGGTCACATTCCTATTTAACATTTCCTTTATCTATTCACAAGTGTGTGTGTGTGTGTGTGTGTGTGTGTGTGTGTGTG